GGGATAATGAAATACAACAATTGGGGGAAAAATTGAGAGGAATTGAAAGATTACAAATTGAATTAAATACAAAATTAGCTAAAAATGAAGAAACAAAAAGGGGAATTGAAAGGGATATTATTTCTATGAGAAGAAATATACAAGAACTGTAAATTTATAAATTAAAATTGAATTTAAACTCTTGAGACTGGAAAAAAGGTTATCGTATAGGTCCAATTGTCAATCAAAATTTAAAAAAATTTATTGAGGAGTTTCAAATTTTGAAGTAGTTTATATAGAGAGGGAAATACTATTAAACTGAAAATTTTAATTAATTAATGAAATGTAATTAAGATTAACAAAAAAATAATAATTTAAAAAATTAGTGAACGAAGTTTGGATGAATCAGAAAGGGAGAGAAGGCGGTTAGATGACAAATACAAAATGTCAATGAGTGATTTGGATGCTTCTGAAGCGTCAAAGAAAATTTTGGAAAATGAATTGAATTTAATTAAACAGTTAATTTATTTTTTAATTAAAAAAAATTAATTTTTAAAGACAAATCGAAAAAATTGCTGGAGAGGAAAAGAGAAAGGCTAGAGAAGAAATTGAACAATTTAAGAATGATTTAGAAAGTGATTATTCTAATAGGTAAAAAATATTTTTAGAAAACTTTTTTAATTTAATAAAAATTAAGAATAGAAGAATTAAATATAAAAATAAAATCCTTACAAGAAGAAAAAAGAAATATAAAAAATGAATTAAATTTAATGCAACAACAAATTAAAGATTATGAAATTAAAGTACAAACATTAAAACAAAAATTTGAAGAAAAAGGTTTTGTTTAAATTTTAAATAAAAATTTCGGGTATTTGAAAGTATTTTTAGAGACTCCAAAAATTTTGGGACTCATGAAATAAATAAAAAATATTTTGTTTACGTTCATGTGATTTCAAAATATAACAAATATTAAAGCATTTTCAATAAATACAATGTAAATACTCGAACATTTTGTTTTTTTCCCAAAATTTCTTTTTAGTGGATTAAAAACTCTCTTTGTAAGATAAATAACAGAGTCCTGAAAAATTTTTTGTAAATGTAGGTTTTAGCAGGGTATTCTCTAATACAGAAAATTCCTGTTTGGGGGGGGGGGGGGTTTTGACTGTAAATATGTATTTAAATAGTTTCTTAAAAATATTTTTAGAAATTCAATATGAAATAATGGAAAAACAATTAAAACAATTGAATGAAGAATTAAAATCTAAAAAAGAAGAAATAGACAATTTATTATCAAAATTAGAAGAATTAAATAAAATAAAAGAACAACAAACAAAAACAATAAATGCTTTAGAACAAAATCTGAGAGAATTAAAACAACAAAGAGACGAACAGAAGTAATTATTTAAAGGGGTTGTGGGGCATTATTGTTTAAATAAATATTAAAATTATTAAAAAGTGGCCTGAGCTATAAATTACTCATTTTATATTAGAAAAAACCTGGGCTTACGAGGATAACATCCAAATCCCCAACTCACCATTTTTTAATTAATTAAAAGTAGGGTAGTACCCCGTCCCCCGAACTCCGACATGCCCTCCCCGACACACCCGACTCCAAAGGCTCGGGATGCTACCCTAATTAAAAGTTAATTAATTAGTTTTAATCTTTTTAGTTCATTAAAAGAAGATGCAATAAAGAAATTAGAAAATTCAAAGCAAATAATAAATACAGAAATTGAAAAAAGAGAAAAGTTGGAACGTGAAAAGGAATTGACAAACAAAGAAATTGAGAATTTAAAAAATGAAATAAATAATTTACAAAAAGAAATTAAAAGTTTAAGAATAACAAATGATGAATTAGAAGCAAAATTAAAAACACAACAAGCGAGATTATTGGCTTTAGAAAATGATTTTTCGTCTGGACAGAAGGAAATGGAAATTTTAATTGAATTAAATGAAAGATTGCAGAGAGAGCGACAGGAAATACAAAAGTAAAATTAATTAAAATTAACTCTATGTTTATTAAAAAATTTAGAGAAAAACAGGATGTAGATAATGAATTGGCCAATTTAAAAGAGCTAGTAAGGAAGTCGGAACAAGAATTGGAAAAATTAAGAAATGAAAATTCGACATTACAAGGATATGAGGCTAAATCAAGAGAAGAAATGGATACCCAGAAAAATCAAATTAATCAACTTGAAAATGATTTAAAGGAAAAAGAAGGAAGAATAAAGGAATTAGAAGGTAAGTAAAATTACAAAGTTGGGCTTTCTTAAACGTGCCAAAATAACCGAAAAACTCATGCTAAACATCTTAAACATATGATTATAATAGATGAAACCATTCTCGGAGTTATCCCACATGAGATTTAAACTGGATGACTTATATCATTAACTTAAATCTAGAATAAAGATAAAATATTATTAAAAATATTCCTAATAAAAATTCTTTAGATGAGTTAGCACAACTTGAAAAACATTATAAAGAAAGGCATAAAAAAGCGGCATGGAAAATAGGTGGAGGAGGAGGAAAGGGAACAACAGCAACAGATGAAACTGGAATTGGAACAGAAGAAAGTTTTGGTAAAGAGGAGGAGGAAGAAGGAGTGGAAGGAGATGGAGGGAAAGTACCGACAGAAATATATGATTTAGAATTAGTTGAAAGAAAAATTAAAGAAGTTGAGGATAAATGGAAAATAAAAATTGGACAAATTGAAGATGAAAAGGATAAATTAGAAAAACAAAATAGAGAACTTGAAGATAAATTAATTCAATTACAACAAGAAAATGAAAGTCAAATTGTTGAAATTGAAAATTTAAAAAAAAAATTACAAGAAGAAGTTGATCGTTTAATGAGGGAAATTAATGAAATAAATGAACGAAATAATAATGAATTTGAATCAGAAAGGGAAACACATAAAAATGTAAAAATTATTTTAAGAAAATAATTTATAATTTAAATAATCTTGGTCATGACAAAATCAGTGAAACTAGTACCCCAAATATTCAAGTTCAGAGGAACTTTATAAAGCGGAAAGGTCTTAAGCTATTAAAAAGTGGATGTATCCGTGTCCGGAAATTTGGGGAGTGGACATTTGGGGAGTGGACAATTTGGGAGTGGAAATTTGGGGAGTGAGCGGATATTTGGGGAGTGGACAATTGGGGAGTAGAAATTTGGGGAGTGAGGATTTAAAAAATAATTTTAAAATAGATTTTTTGGACAATAAAAATAATTTATACACTCGTGAAGGTGTTTTTGTGGAGTTTCAAAGGGTAAAATTCAATTCCACCTCTTTTTTCCTTCCTCAACGTATTAACAAAGGGTAGTCAATTTTAGGTTATAGAGCTCGTCGAGCTGTGTTAGCTTAGTCGAATGACACCAAAATCAAAAAAATCCGGCTGTAGTGAGTGTACCGGTGGTAAAATTTCGGGACGGACATATGTCATTCGATTCGTCTCGGCGAACTGAGTCGAACGTACCACTCTTTACTGCAGGAAATGATTCTGGGCCGAGTTATAGGTCCCGAAAAATTGAAAATTTTGAGAAAAAGGAAGAAATCTTGCCTATTGGCCTTCCAAAACCCATAAAATTTTCGCCTGCGGCGCTAAAGCGTGAATTTTTCATGTCTTTGGCACATTTTTCACTTATAAATAGAAGTTTGTCTTCTGCACAGAGATGCTGAGTTTTGAGTGCTTACTGCACCTATTAATCAAAAAATCTCGTTTGTGGCACTGAAATTTAAATTTAATAATTTCTAGTGAAACCTCGACCCCCGGTCGAAAAGTCAATCCCGACTCCGAACCCCGACATGCATTCCCCGGCAAACCCCGATCCCCGACACAACCGCCCCCGAAGGGTAGGTTGCTACCCTACTTTTATGGGTGTACTCAACCGGCATACACAACACGCCGGCACTATACAGTAGTACTCAACTACCGGTACTTATTAACCCAATCGCAGAAAAAACTTAAAATCTTTGAAACTCCACAAAAACACCTTCACGAGTGTATTAATTATTTTTATTGTCCAAAAAATTTATTTTAAAATTATTTTTTTAATCCTCACTCCCCAAATTTCTACTCCCTAATTGTCCACTCCCCAAATATCCGCTCACTCCCCAAATTTCTACTCCCCAATTGCCCACTCCCCAAATGTCCACTACCCAAATCTCCGGGAGCCGATGTATCCCCTTCTTATTCTCCCTTTCCCTTTTAAATGGAAAATACAAAAATATAAATAATTGTTAAAAGCCTTATTAAATTATTTCTTTTAAAAAACAGGAATTGGAAGCACTCAAACGTGATAAAGAGGAATTAAGACTTAAACTTGAGCAAGTTGAACAAAGACTAGCAGAGGCATTAAATGCTAGAGATGAATTTGATAAAGTAAAACGTGATTTAGAAAATCGTTTACAAGAATCTTTAACAAAAAATCAAAAATTAAAAGATGAATTAATTGATGCTAAAACAGATGCAGAAAAGGCAAGAAAAAAATTTTTTGTTTTTTAATAAATTTAAAGGAAATTCAAAAATGGAAGAACGAAGCATTTACGGCCAGATCAGATATGAGAACTGTAGAGACGAATATCACGAATCTAAAAACTCAATTAAATACAGCAAATGAACGAAATGATGCTTTGAATAAAACAGTTAATGACTATGTATCGAGAATTAGAGAATGTAAATTAATTATTTTTGTAATTCGTTATAGTCTGGCTATTCAGACTAATATCCAATTAAAAGATACATTTAAATTTTGACTGCGGATGAGTAATTGCGAACAAAATATTGAGATAAAAAATTTTGGAATGATAGGGAGGGAGAAACCAGTAACCCTACCTACTAAAGTCAACTTTCGATAACAAACCTTTATCCATTAATGAAAATTATTAATTTAAAGTAAATTTGCAAGTCAAAAAATTGGAAGAAGAACTTTCGGATATTAGAGCCAATTACAATTCAAAAGAAGTTGAATTAGAAAATATCCAAAATAAAATTAAACAATTAGAAAATCAGAATCAGGAAATGAAAAATGAAAATGGGAAATTAAAAATTGAAATTGAAGGAAAAAATACAGAAATTGAGAGGATTAATGGAATAAAAGAAGAATTAGAAGAATTAAATAAAAAAATAAAAAATAATTTGGAACAAATTGAGGGAAATTTAAATGAATCGAAAAAACATTTAATGAGACAAAAATCAGAGGTATAGAAAATAAATAAAATTAAAAATAAATTAATTTAAAGAATGTAAGGCTACAATCTTTAATTAAAGAAAGAGGAAAACAATTAGAGGAATTGGAAAATTTAAAAAATGAATTGGAAAATAAAATGGAAAAATTACGTGAAGAAAATCAAAAAAATATTGAAAAAGTAGGAGATTTTGTTGTAACTAATAAAATCTTAAAACCTAATTTTAATTAATAATTTTGTAGTTAATTGTTTCTGAAGATGAAAAAGTTAATTTAATTTCAAAAAATCAAATATTACAAAAAGAATTGGAATTTGGAAAAGAACAAATAATTAGAAGAAATGAGGAATATGAAATGACTATTGAAGCTTTGGCTAAGGGACATAGAGAGGCTGAAGAAAGGAGACTTGCAGCACTACAGGAATTGGAAAAAATAAAATATGATAGTGCGGATATGAAGGTAATTAATTGGAAAATTAAATAAAGGGGAAAGATGTTAAAATATTTTTAATGACCGTTAAATTCAGAATTTTTTCCCATGATTTTTGAATGATGATTTTTCATTCAATTATATAAAATTTTAGCAATTAAAATAAAATACTAATTTCAAAAAAAAAACAATAATTTCAGTCACAAATCGAAAATAACGAACAAAGATTGAAACAATTACAAGAAGAATATATCAAAGCAGATAATGAAAGAGAATTATTGAAAGATGCATTAAAAAGATTTAGAGCTAGCACAATAAGAATATATAAAGAAATTAAAGAAAATAGTAATGGATTTGAATTTCGTTCAATTCCTTTACCTAAATATAATAATGATTTTGTTGATGAAAGAGGCGAAATTAATTCGGATAGATTAAATGATATTCTACAAGATTTGGCTAATCGAATAGAGAACCTTCAAATTGATCGGGTATTTTAATTATTAATAAAAATATATTTAGTATCAATAAAAGTCTTCTAATTATGAGATACTTTCAAGAAATCCTTTCTATTTTTATCCGTATTTTAAAATTCTACAATATTGAGGATTGTGTCCTTAATGCTGAAAGAAATACATATTAAAAATTCAAACATATTTATATTTTAGGACCGTTACAGGGATGAATTAAATCGTCTTAAAAATACATCTACAGATACTAAAACAACCTATACTAAAAAAGAAACACATTTTCGAACAATTGAAGAAAGTTTAGAAAATGCTGAGGAAGGTATATAAAAATAAAGATAATTTTCAAAAAAAAATATTTAAGATAAACGTTCATTAGAAGCTAGATTAGCTACAGCAAAACAATTACTTAAATCTCAAGAAGAAAATATGAAATTAAGAGAAGAAGAAAGAAGACAAATTAAAAGTAATTTAATTACAGCAGAATTGGAAACGAGGGGAAAAGAAGCACAAATTAGGCACTTAAATGTTTGTAATTTCTTTTTTTTGGATTAATCCTTATAGTTAATTGTCTTAATAATTAGAATGTACAAAATAAGATTATGTAACTAGCCATAGTATTTTCTAGTTACTTTATCAAACTCTTTATATGAGAATATTACCAAATCTGGAAAATTTTTGGCCTCCTTTCTATGGTGACTGAAAAAATTATATTCATTCAAAAAAATACATAAATAATTTGTAGGAAAAGTTAAAAATTCTCCAAAATGATTTGGATGCAGCAAAAGAAGAATTACGAGTAACTAGAGATAAAAATGAGTTAAAGGATTCGAATAGATTTCAATTGGAAATAACATTGAGAGATCAAGAGAATGAATTGAGAGATTTACGCTCAAAATTAACAAATTGTCAAACAACAAATAATGTAAATAAAAAAAATTAAAGAGAAAAATTAAAAAAATAATTTAGGGTTTAAAAGAAAAAGTAAATGAATTAAATATTCGATTAAAAACAAGCGAGGAAAATTCTAATGGATTACAAGAAGATATTGAGAGATTGAGAAAGGAATTAAAAAGGACAGAATCAATTGAAGATGAACTTAAACGAACTGTAGAAATACATTCTCGAGAAAGAAATGAACTTAAAACGACAAAAGAACAAGTTAGAGAGGGGATTTTGGAGAGTGAATTTTGGGATTTAAACATTTTTTGTACTTTGGGTAATTATTAACCCTCACGAGAGTGGGAAATAAATCGAATAATTAATTACTCTAGAAAATATATCAAAAACTTTTTGCATCCTTACCTTACTGAAGGAAATCCCACATAATTTGCTTATTTGATGGTTAAAATTTAAAAACCCCTTTGTTTGAAAAAAATAGAATCTTAATAATTCAAAATTTTTTAGTTAACTCGTATACAAAACGAATTATACGGAAATCAAATTCGTAAACAAGAAACTGAATCAGAATTAATTAATGCACGTTCTGAAGTTAGAGACTTTCGTCAACGAATAAATGAATTAAATAATAAAATTGGAGATTTAAATAGACAAATACAAGATGCTCAAAAAATAAAAATAGAAATGAAGAAAAAATTAGAGATTTAGAAAAGGTTCTCATAATTAATTATTTTAATAAAAAAATATTTTTTTACATTTTGTAGCAAAATGTAACACAAAAATTAAATGAAAGTGAATTAAAGAAACAATATGAAGTTTTAAAAAATGAGAAAAAACAATTAATAAAAGAAATTAGCGAATTAAAAGAGAAATGTCAACAAATAAAATTAGAAAATGATGCTTTAGGAAGGGCAGAAGGACAGTGCAAAACGGAAAAAGCATTTTTATTAAAGAAAATTCAAATGGCAAGATTTAGTTAAAATATTCATTCAATGTATCTAAAAGGAGATATAGGGGTAAAATGAAGCAAGCGAACTTGACGAATCCGAATGAATTCTATATAATTTGAAATCCCCTGACTTTTTCCAAGATTGGGCTGGATTTTGTGCTAATTTAAGGTCCTAGACGTCCGACACTCAAAAATGCTTGAATCTAGGAAATGTCATTGTTAAATCTTTAAGAAAAAAAGCCTAGTGGAATATGTATTACTTTAACATTCCTCGATACAAACATTCATCATTTAAAATCTGATTTAAATCTATTTTAGTATGAAATTGATAAGCGTCGAACAGATGAAGCAATACGTGAAACAGCTTTACAAAGAGAAGCAATTGAAAAATATTTAAATGCAATGGAAAGAGAAAATAGAGAACTTTACAAGAATTGTGCCCAATTACAGCAACAAGTAGCACAACTTGAAATGGAAAATGGTAATCGTTTAATGGAAATTTCAAAAATACAAAAAGAGGAACAAGAAAAACAAATTCAAAGAATGAGAAATGAAAAGGCTCAAGTAATTAGTCTATTAATGAAAATTCTTTTAAAAATTTTTTTAGTTCGAGAAAATTCTTGAGAGCAGAGAAAGACTGTGTAAAGAGAAAATACGTCAATTAGAAAATCAAATACAAATTTTACGTGAAAGTTTGGAAAGTGAGAGGAGGAAAGGCAGAAATTTACGAACTGTGGACATTAGAAGGGTTCAGAGTGGAGTTAGCGATTTTTGGCCGAGTAGAAGTGACAATATTGACAGTTTTAGATTTAGGTATTTTATATTTATGTTAAAATTGGTAGAAAATTAAATTTTAAAAAATTACTTTCCGAATTTAGGAGAACATTTGCATCAAATCCTTTAACACCGCCTAGAGGCACTTCAACACCTATTCGCGAAGTGTTTGTTGTTCCCCCTGATCGAGAAGACATAAGCCGAAGTGAAACAGAAGAACAAAGTGTGAGCACTACTCCGAGACTTGATCGAGCACATGGTTTTGATCAAAAAAGTATTAGTGGTGCATTTCATCCAATTTTTCCAGGAAGAGAACTAGCAGAGGAGGGACCTTCTTCAATGGAACAATTAAAGTACAGTAGAAGTGGACTTTGACTATGTAGACAATGATGGAAATGTAAGGATAGGAGGAAGGAAAAAGATTTATTTTAGGAAATAAAAAATATTTTTGAATTGCTTTCAAATTAAGCTTTAATAAATTAATTAAGAAAGATTTTCTTTTTTGAAAAATAAATAATAAACTGCTGTAAATTAAACTCAAATAAGTAAGATAATACAATTAGGGTTACCGTTTTCGAGTCGGGCCGACGATCGAGTCATTCTTTTCGGACCTCATTTTTATCGAGTCGAGCCGTACGAGTTTTTCGGGCCAAATACCTTAGGCCCGACTCATCTTTCGGTCCGAGTCGGGCAATTTTTACAACCCTAAATACAAGAAATGGCAACAAAATGAACAGCGTCGCTGACAACAAGAAATTTTACTGAATAAATAAAATATTGGTAGTTAAAATGAAATATGTAGAGTAAATCAAAATGTATTCTTTATTTAATATTTTCTTCCAAAATTATTCTTCCAAACAAAATTCAACACATTTTAAAAAGTGGTGACTTTTTCTGTATTTTTTGTTTAAATATATTTCTCCAAGATTTTGGATTAGCTAATTCATCATCTACATCTTTTGGAGAATCATCAACAATTTGAATTTGTTTTTCTTCATTTTCTTGTTTGCCTTTTTTAGAAAATTTTGGGAATTTACGTTTCTTCTTTGTTTCTATTTCTATCATACAAACTGGAGTCATCTAAAAATAAATAAAAATTTAATTCAAAAATTAATTTTTATTCTTTTACCTGAACAAGTTGAGCAGGCGATTTTCTTTTACGCAAAGCTTCTCGTAAATTAAACATTTGACCACGAATTACAGATAATTGTTTGGAGAATATTCTCTTTTTAAACCCTTTGTCTGACTAAAATTTAAAAAATTTCTTTAAAAAAATCCCAATTTAATTCACCTCAAATATTTTTCGAAGCTCATTACCCAATTCTTTCACAAAATCTGTATTATCCAATAAAGGCAATATTTTATTGACAATTTCTTCGCTAAATGGACGTTGAGCAATTAAAAGATCGGCCCAATGAAAAGGATCTTTTAAAAATAAATTTTAAGTAAAATGTTTAAAATTGTATTTATTACAAGCTCTGCATTCATCTGGATGTTTAAAAGGAAAAGCAAGTCCGTTGTCTATTGCAGCAATTTTGATACAAACTAAAAAATTAAATTAATTAAAAATAAAAATAATTTTTAGTCCAAATATTTTGGCTATTGTAACTTATAGGGGGTGTTTTGTTTCTAGAACGACTTGGTCGAATAACCTTCGAAAGAGCTCTAAAAACTGAGTTTAACAAGGTAATTATGAAGTCAATCAGATATCCCGGGACTGAGTTACAGATTTTGAAAATTTAGAAGAGAAGGGGGCATCCGCTTTGTTCAGAATTATCGAAAAACGCTGATTTTGCTGTCATCCGACTAACATCAGCTCGTCGAGCTCTTTCGAATAAGCTATCATTGACATATAAAATTTTTAACCATAAAATGAGCTTAATCCCACTATGGACTTTCTATTTTTAAGTCAGTAATTTGGCCCCGAAGTGGAATTATACATATTAGTGCCCATTAAATAATTTACTAATTAATTCAAAAACAACACCCACCATTATTATTCTCTTCTTCATGTTCAATTAATTTAGAATCAGAACTAGATTCTACTATTAAATCTTGATTATTTTTCACTTCCATTCCAGGAGTATATTTAATTAACCAATTATTTCCTCTGTCAGTATTTCGAATCAAATAGTCGAGAATAACCATTTTTTCAAATTCTAATTGGAATTCAGACATTACAGAAGGTGGAGGTGATTTCTCTGGAAAAAGTTCCCATTGTCGTATTAAATAATTTCCTTCTTGGTAACCATTCACAAAAAGTTGGAAACTTCCACGCTGAAAATTAAAATGTTGTTAAAATCATTTTTGAGACCCTCTCTAATTAACCCCCCCCCCCTTGAATAAAAATATTTACTACCAGAGGTGGGTCGGAACAGTCAGAGGTGTCGGAAATTGGAAGAGCCGGAAATTGAATGGCTCAAAAGTCGGAAATTGGTAATCGAAAGTCCGAATTCATTCCGACCCACCTCCACTTACTACCAACCTTTCGAGGTAATCCAATATGCCGAATATTTTTTGAGGGCCTTACAAAACGATAACTAATCCTTTCTTTTGTTCTCGCCATAGCTCGATCAACACGCGTATAATTAAACGTTGGAGATGAAAGAGAAACAACCGCCGTTTTGGGAACAATATTCAAAGAAAGTTTTTGATCAACTAAAGATGCACCAGCTTCACATAAATAACCCTAAAATGATAAAATTTGAAAAGGATTTGTTTAAAATCCCACTTGATTTGGAACGAGACAAGAACGTCCAAAACAACAAGGACAACACATTCTTTGTATCCACTTCATGAATTTTGGGTTTAATTCTCCATAAGGCTCTTCATCTTTTGGTTTAAAGACAGCGATTTTCTCCTTTCCCAAATTTTTGACTAAATAAGAGCCAGAAGATCCCTCAGAAATAAGCTCTGGGTAAATCCCTTTGTTTATAGCCAAAACTGCTTCTGTTAATTTAACTGCAAAATCTGTGCCTGGAATACTTCCATATTGCTCTTTACAAATTCTCGAAATATCCTCATCTGTTAAATTTGGATTCATTAAATTCACCCTCTTTGAACGTTTTGGAGATTTGGCTGGCATCTTTCACTAAAAGAAGAAAAATGGATGTAAAATATTTTTTTAAAATAAACTTGCCTTGTAAAATGATAAAAATATATTGTGATAATAAAATAAAATGTTAGAGAAGAAGTAAAGTTGGAAAGGTTTTAAAAATAAAGTTGAGAGAATAATTTTGATAAAACTTGATAAGTGTTTAAATACTAAAATTAGTTAGGCAATAGTGAAGCAGCGGAGCTATTTCTCTCCTTCATCTAGTGTAAAAGGTTAATCGTCGGCTGGGTGCGAACCAGCATTTTCAGTAGACTGGAGGACTGATTTGTCCACGTCACCTACAACATAGACTTAGCAATTAAATAGCTACATACATGCTTGACACATTAAATACTGACAATAGGCATTACCGTATTTACTCGATTAATTCCCCCGAGGAATTATTTTTTCAACCCATCCGCGGCATGGGAAATTAATAGAGGGTGGGGAATTATTCGAGTTTTATTTGAACGTGTATTAGGGTATTTGGGAGTGGGGAATTATTTTTTCAACTCATCCCTGGCATGGGGAATTAATAAAAGGTGGGGAATTATTCGAGGTTGGGGAATTAATCGAGTAAATACGGTAAATACAAACGACAGGTCAAAAATAAAATTAACAGAATTGAATTTTTTTTACATTTGGTTAAAGGAAAAAAGTTTGTTAAAAATTCTTAAAATGAACGAGTTAAATAAATAAAATGGCTGTAAATAAAATCATCTAAAAAAGAAAGAGAGGCCAACCAATTTCAAGAAAAACAAGTTTTCTTGATTTTTATTCACATCACTAAAACCTTGTAAACAATCATCTTACTCTCGTTATTTTTTTATTATATTTTTTGATAAAAAATTAATTTTAAAAAAATTAATAAATTCTTTATCTTTATAAAAAACAAACAAAAATTTATAAATAAATAATATCCTCATCTCCACTCGTTTCAATTTCATCATCCGCTTCTTCCTCACTTTTTTTGTCTTTTACTTTTTTATTTTCAAAAAATTCATAACGGGGTAATTCATTTTTTGTTGAAATAATTTCTGAGGAAGAACAACTTGGGGCGTTTGAATTATTTTTTGTTGAACTAGGGAAAGATGGAAAATATTTTAATTTTAATTTCAACTAACTAGCTAATATTATCATCATTTATTTTGAATAACCATCCATTACTAGAATGTCTTTTTGGATATTTTTGTTCAATTTTTAGAGAATTTAATTTATCCAATTTTTTATTTAAATTTTCTTCCCCTTTTAATTTTCCTTCTTCACTTTCTTCTTTTAAAGCCAAAATTAGGGAATCTATTAATGTTCTTCTTTGTCTTCTTGCAATTGCCCATCTTTTATCACATTTATCTGCTTCATTCGAAAGTTGTTCAGCTAAGAAAGAGCCAAGTCCGCGTAATCGTGAAAGGCCATCTAAAGTTTCTTTATGCCATTTTTGTTCTATTTGACTTTCCTGGTTTTCCTTAAAAATTCCTTTTTATTTTTGTTACAGTGGAATGGTTTGAATTATTTTTGTAAATTTTGAAATATTTTTAGAATTATGGTTAGCACTTGGGATTGTTTTGGGGCGTGGTTCGGATCGGGGATAAATCTGAAAAAATCGTTTGGGAACGGGGTACGGGGTCAAATACCTACTACTACCTTTCCCAAGTTAATTAGTGCTGTGATAAAATATTTAAAATATTTTTTATAAAGATTGAAACAACATATTAGCTTATGTATTTTTAGAAACCAATAGAAAAACTTTTTACTTTTACACTCCAATTTTCTACCAAATCAAGAGTTATAGCTTCATTTGAATCTTCTGTTTTTAAATAATTAACACTAATATTGTTTAATTCATTTGAAGAAAATTTTATTTTAATTTTATTTTCTTCAATTTCATTATTATCAATATTTTCATCGTTGTTGTTGTTAAAACAAAATTTTGAAATTGGAAGAGTTTCACTTAATTTTTTAATTTTTTCTCCTTCAAATTCTTCTTCTTTTAAACATTTATTAATTTTTTCCAAATTAAAACTTGAATTTGGTTCTGAAGCAATAAAATAATTTTTTGAATTTAAAAATAAAGATCTTCCTTTTATTCTTTCAAAAATTTTATTTTTCTTCACTTTTCCTTCATTAAACTCTCGAGAAGCAGAATGAACTAAATTAAGTGCTATGCCTGCCAAATTGTTAGATTTATTTTGTTGAGAATTTTGGTGATTATTAACGATTATAATGTCTATATTATTGTTTGAATCTTGAATTTGTTGTGTTGTTGTCTCTTGCTGACCTGGAATTTTTTTAATTAAAAAATAAATTTCTTTTTTTATTCCTTTACATTGTTCAATACAAGAAGGGGCAGAGGCAACACTTGGAGGTGGATTACTGTTAATTTTAAGAAGATGGCGTCTTTCAGAAGCCGATGAATTTGGAGTATTTCGTGTTATTTGATGCCAACTTCTTTTTGTTGTACACGATGTTGGTAACCTTTTTTAATAAAATAATTTTTGACAAAATTTAAATTATAAATATATTTATTTTAATTTAATTTTTGTCTAATTTTTATTGAAATTTTTATTAATTTTTTAAATTAAAAATTAAATTTTAAATTTAATTGACATTAAAAAGGTAAATAATAGTACGTTAAAGCAAGAAAATGTTAATTTGGAAAAAAGAGAAATTAAAAGGAGTTAAAAAAGAGGGATTTATTCTAGAAATTTTTAAAAGTTTTTATCCATCAAGTACAGCTTGAATGGCTTGATTAAAATGTAGGAAATGAATACAAAAATTCCAGGCTCTACTTTATAGAAAAAAACAATCCTTAAAAAATAATTTTGTGATTTTTCGGAAGCCCTGTCCAATTACATATTTTTACATATTTACAAACATTTTATTAATTTCAATAAAAATAATTTGGCACAAAATGTACTTTAAAAGGTGTTAAACGATTATTATTATTTAAATTATCTCCTCCTCCTCCACCACTACTACTAATTATTGTATCACTATTCTCCTCAAAATTATTCTGTTTTGTATTTCTCAAACCAATTTCTTCTGCCATTTTTGGTGTTAATGCAACAACAGATGTTTTTAAATTTCCATCTTTATTTAAAATAATTGTAGTAGCAGAAGTGATTGTATTATTAGAATTATTATTTTTTGTTTTTTGTTGTTGTTGTTCTTGTAAAGGTTGCCGTTGTCGATAAATAAAAGCACTTAAACGATTCCAACAATCACGGGGGACTATTGACGTACGACGACGTGAACAATAACTGGCCACCAAATATCTGAACGAACACATTTTCACTGACATTTGAGAGAGAAAAAAAGAGAAAGAAGAAAAAGAGTTTAAAAAATGTTAGTAAAGTTTTGATTTAAGGAATTTTTTTAAATTTTAAGCACCTGAGTGTCCAACCGTCTCCGGGCTGTGCAGAGCTGCAAAATAATTTTTTTAATAAATTTTTGTTTTTTGCCTTTCTGTTTTAGATAAAATTTAGAGGATTTTCTAGATAAGCCCTGAATTTATTCTTTCGTTTCTCACCTATTCATTTCATTAACTGACGATTTTCTGAGAGGACTTCCACCAGAGGAAGACTCTCCCCCTCCTCTTTTGACCCTGCCATAAAAGGAAGAAGCCCCAGCTGCGTGTAATCTTGCATCCCCAGCCACACAACAAAGCCAATGTAAAAAATCAGAAATTGCCCGAATTAATTGTGCCCTCATATCTTTATTTAGGGAGAAATAAATTACCTTTAAAAATTATTTTTAATAAATTTAAAAAAATTTTAAGAACCGGATTAATCATATGTGTAGTTGAATAAAAGAATGAATTAAATAACACAACCCATTTATTGGAAACATTGAGCACATGATAAAGTAAATAATAAGCGAACATATAACTAAATAAATAAATTATTTAATTTTATTTTGAAGAATATTTAGTAGGAAAATAAGGGAGGGGGTTATTAAGACATTTCAATGTGTTAACTAAACATTTATGATTAATATTTAAATTAATTCGACTATTATATCTTATTATTCTGTTGAATTTTATTAAGAGGATGGAGGGAAATCGTCAAAAGTATTAGAAGCATTTAAGTAGAAAAATCTTAATATATTCCGAATGGAAATGTGCATGGGTAAAGAATTTACCAATTTTAAATTCTCATTTTAATTTTTAATATTTACTAATTCGTTAATATTTTGAAAATAATTTACTTACAGATAAAAGATTATGGCAACAACAGAAATCTAGAGATAAATAAAAAATTTTCTTCCTATTTATTTTAAAGGAAAAAATTTTGCCTGTAAAAGAATTCTTTGTTGTTGACGATTGGCACGTCTTGAAGCAACATGATGTACTTCATTGTTATTTATATGTTTTGAACCCATTCTCATAGAGACTTCAAGAAGCATTGTACTTGCCCTTAAATTATGTAATTAAATAGTTAATCAAAAAATTAAAAAAATATTAGAAAAAAACTGCACATAAAAACAAAAATATTTTAGATAAAGGACAATTTGAGTGCACTTAAAGTGATTGTAAAATATATATCGAGTTAACTGGGAAGAAAAAAGCTGGTAGATTAAATAAAGTTAATTTACGAAACGGATACAAATATTTAAATAAAAAAACTCTAACAATACATAGGACATAAACGATTATTGTTAGGTGTGATAACTTGTTCAGTTTTTTATCAGTAATTTATTGTTAGAAATAGATACACAACACAAAACACAAGAACCAAACAGAACAAAATAAAAAACATTTATTAAGAGAAATGGATTTCCTTATTTTAATACCTTCTTAACATAGCATCACCTAGACCCATTGGTGGCGCTCGTTGTCTTAAATTTACAAATAAAGACATAAAATTAAATAAATTATTTTTGTCTTATTTAAAATATTCAAGTGCTTAAGAAATGGAAATATAGAGATGTGCTTAATATAGACAAGTAATAGAAAAGTTTGATAGATTTTAGCTAGAAAAAATTTTGATTTAAGGGGGTTTGTCTTAAATTGCTTGAGGAATAGGTAACTTCAAAAAAGATCCAAAAAAATTGTCGAGAGAAGGTATATTATCGTGGATAAAATATGATAAGAATAAGAGAGAATGGTACTATTATTATTTTAAGGTATTTAAAAATAAAACACAGATGCCATCTTGCATTAAAAACAAAATTTTTTAAAATAAAAAGAGGCCAAACCAAAAATAAATTAAAATAAATAAATTTAAAAATAACTAAAAATATGAATCACAATTTAACAAAAAAATAACCAAATAAAAAATTTTTGAACATTAAAAGGCTTTTTTCTATTTTTAGGAATATTAAAAATTAAGAAAATTAAAAGAGGATTTGGCCCCTTTAAAATTAAAAAAATCCTCAAGATATTTTGAAGTTAAAAAAAACAAAATTGCATCTGTGCCTATTAAAATATTCATAAACTTACATTCTAAGGGCCATTTTCCTTTTATGTCTTCTATATAATTGTATAAGTGTTATTGGATTTGAAATAGATAAAATAGTTAAAGTAAATAGTTCTATAGGTGTATATGTTAATTTAAATAGATTGGCACCTCCAAATGGGGATTCTCTTAATTTGGCTTAAAATAAAAAGATTTTTTAAATAAAATTATTCTTTTTTAAACCTTCAGATTCAAATTCTCCATAACCAAAAGTATAAAAATGAATTTCGCGTAGAGGAGTAATTAAACAACAAAATTGGGCAAGAATATAAGAAATGTTTAAAGCAAAAAAGGCAGTCCAACAAAATATCTAAAATTTATTTTATTTATTTTATTTAAGAATAGTTGACAGAAAAGAATCTGGGGTCGTAAAATAAGTTTAAATTATTATCCAGGGTAATTAAATAATTAATGTTTACGAACTTAAATTTTAAAGATTTTGAACTAAAAAATATGTATGTAAAGTATTTTTAATTTTAAAATTCATTGGAATTAAAATCAAGAAATATTCAAAAGACGTACAGTGAATTTTCGAGCTCTATCAACAGTAATAAATTGATTATAACGACTATACATCTAAACAAAAAATTTTAAATAATTTTCTAAATTAAATTAAAACTACCATAATAGCAAGTAATCTGTCTAAACAGATTGCAGACATATGTGTAAGTGTTATACTCCAAGCAGTCCAATCAAGTATATTAAATAATTTAACACCAACTAAATTCCAAAAATTTTTTTAATTTTTAAAAATAAACTTGAAGGCACAGGGCTTTGACGCAAAAGAATTGGAGGGTAAAAGAAGCAAGTAGTTACTAAACCATGAAGAACATCAGCCAAAGCTAGACTTAACATTAAAACAAAACTAGCTCTATTTAAATATTTATGTCGAAGAAGTACAACACAGAGGCATATATTTAACTTAAATAAAAATTAACAATAAAGCTGGCTTCTAAGCTAACCATTAATTTGATATCCTTTAAGGACACACCCTTGTAATACCCTCTACTTTGACTAAACCTTAGTTTCGAAAAGAAGGAAAGCTGGATGTTAAGTTTACTAACAAGAATCTGTAACGGGGCATTAGGGACTTGAGGAAAGTTTCGACTTGAATTAGGCTAGCTAGTTAGTTATATAAAATAATTCCGTGATGCTAGCGACGGTAAACCAGAAAGAGTATTTACAATAATTAAATAATTTAATTGTTGTTTTAAGAAAATAATCCAATTTATTTTTTTATTTAAAATTTAGAAAAATGTAAAATAAAAAAATATTTTTGTTATCATTTACTTACAGTAATAGCCAAAGTGCCAAGTGATTCTAGTGCAATAAATACAACCTTTAAATATTCATAATTTTAATAAAAAAAATTTTAAATAACCAAATCTTCAATATTTGTTCCTTCTCTATTAATTAAAGAATTGTTGTTTTGAATTAAAGAAAAGTCATAATGTTCAAAAAGATTAGATGACGTAAAATGCTCATTATCAGCATTTATAGACATATTAAAAGATTAAAAAATATTTTTAAGTATTAATTATCATCTTGAGGAATTAAGTCACTAAAATGTTTGTAAATTAAAATAAACAAAATTTTTTAAACATTTTTTTCTGATATACTTATGAGCTTTCTTTAGTTTTTTTTCTTTCTTTAGTCAGCTCAAAAAAAGCTCAAAAATATTAGTGAAAAAGTTAGCTCGGATTTTTTAAAGTATTAGGAACAAAAATTAAAATCGTCCATGTTTCAAATACACACCTTTACTTAAACTTTGGAAGATTTTAAATAAATTTGTTCCCATGAAAATATTTAGTATCTAGGACATAATACAGATATAAAAAAGTTGAAAAATACGTTCTTCTTTTTTGCCAACTTTTATTTGTTTAAACTTTTTGGCCTTCAGAAAATCCAATTTTCCCGCGTGCTGCAAATAAAGCAATAAAAGGGGGGACGGTGGATAAATTCATCGGAAATTTTTTCTTTTATTTTTATTTTAACCAATCTATCCAATTTTTTTTATTTTTTTTCTTTCAAAAACTTTAGCCGTTTGTTTTTGGTTTTTTTGAATCCCCCAACTCTTTTACTAATATTGGAAAGGAGAAGAGAAGAAAGAGAGAGGTGAGAGAATGAATGTCCCTTTAGGGAAATGCCAAAGACGATATAAAAGTTTAAGAAAATCTGTGAAATGTCTACAATCTCTATATTTATGTACTTAAATGGAAAAACAATTAGGTAAAATACAAAAGGTTTAACATATAAAGAGAAAGAATTTTTAAAATTCCAAAATTTTTATTAAGACAGTATTCCAGAAATATTCAGTTTATCTTATCAACCTCCTCCGTAATATTCCTCACAAACCTTTTGAAAAATTAATTTGCCACAAACTTCAGAAGAAAAATAAATATGTAAAAAAGACTCATTTTCATAGATCATTAAATTAAATCTTCCTTTAAATAAATTTTTGAGGAAAAAAATTGGAAAATTTAAAATTAATGAAAAAATTAAATAAAAATAGGGAACACATAAAAATATTTTTCTTTATTTATTTAAATAAAATTAAAGAAAAAACCAATTTAAATTATATTTGTGTGAAAATATCAACATATGAGAATTAATTAGTAATTATTTAAAGGAAAATACTATATGTAAATATTTATTTAAATATTTAATTAAAAAATAAAGTTGTTTTTTAATAAAACATATTTTGAAGGATGGATAAAAGGAAATAAAGGGAGGAGGAGGACTAGATTTGCAGAGAATATGCGGAGGCGGGGGAGTTATTTACTTGAGCTAAACAAAAACTTAAATTATAGGTAACAAGTATGTAAATGTTTGTTGGTTGTTGTTGTTGTAATAACAATAAATAAATATTTATATTTAATTAATTATTTAGAAAAAGGAAGTAAAAGAAAAAGTTTTTTTTTTTGTAATTTTCTTTAGATTTTTTAAATTAACAACCAATTTTTGGAAGGAATCAAAAACTCCTTTAAATAAATTTTAAAATTAAAGTTGATATTTGGTCGGGCCTAAGATATTTGGCACGAAAAGACTCGTACCGGCCCGACTCGATGAAAACCCAAAAAAATGCCTCGACCTTCGGCCCGACTTGAAAACGGCAACCCTAATTAAAATGATCATTACATATATTTTTGAAAAAAGCCAGGGATTGAGAATAGGAGATATTCTCTCGGTCTCAATTAAATATTAACAAAATTCCTTATCGAAATATCCAAAACCAAAAAAAACAATCAAATCAAATTCTTTACTTTATTTTTATGCAAAAACTCACGTATGAGTCAAATTAATATTTAAATAAACAAAAAAGGATTAATTTATGTATAAGGATGAGAGTAGAAGATTATTTTTATATATCGCGCAAATTAAAATATAAAGAAGAAAGATTTTTTTAATTTTAAAGGTTTTGAGGAGGAAAGGAAGGATTTAATGATGTATAAATAAATATATATATATATATTTTTTATTAAAATTGATGCACTTGGCGCTTCACTCAATTTATTCTCGATAAAAATGTTGAGGCAAAAAAAAACAAAGATTTTTTTCGAAAAAAGTGGGGAATTGAAGAGAGGAATGAATAAATATGTATATTAAAAAATTATTAATAAAAAAAGTAATTACTTTTCAATTTATTAAAATTAAAATCTTCGACCTTTATTAATTTGAGATTAATTTGGAGAGGATTTTTAAATAAAATTATATATCTTTAAAAGTACGTATTATAATATACTATTTATTTATTAATAAGTAAATTCTAAGAATTAAGTTTTTATCTTTTAAAATAATAAACTTTAAACCGATAATTAAAAGGGGTTTGAATCTTTTGGTTAAAATGAAATTATAATTTAAACATTCTTGATAAAGTTGTAAATGTCCAGATATATTGCAGGAATTATAAAAATGCTAATTAATGTCCTTTACTTATTAGCACCTTCTCTTCACCTTGAGAATTGTGATTTGAATTTATATTGTGATTTAAACTGTAGAATTTTTGTAGGAGGAACATTAAGCTTTGTGAAAAAGGGATATAGTAGTAGATTTATCAGAACGAGGATAGAAAAAGATGAAAAATACGAACTGATTATTTCTGATCTTTTTCATGATAAGACCATAAAGATAACAAAGATATATATATTTAATATATTTATCTGGGTTTACTTTGTGAATTTCTTCTACACAATCTTTTCATTGGTAAATGCCTCATAATTAATTTCTTCTTTTTATTTTCTTTTGCCACATTTTAAAAATATTGGCCACCTGTTTGAAATATTTTATAACTTTATCTCTTTTATTTTTTAAACAAATTAATTAATTATATATAAATTGAAATATGTGCACATCCGGTTATATTTATTTATACTTTTATTTTAGATAAATATTTTAATTTTATAAAGAAACAATAATTGGATCAGTAAAGAAGACTCTCCTTGCTGATAACTTTATATAAGAATGAGTTAGTAATGGATTTGAGTAAAAATCAGAAGAAATTAATTTTAATAAGAAATTAAAATGAAAAGAAATTTTCGAAAAAAATTTAAGAAAATTCACATTTTAAACAAATGAATAAGATTTTAAATTAAAGATTATCTCAAATAATTCTTATTATTTTTAAACAATGTAAAATGTTTTTACAATTCCATTTTTATGAATAAATATGGTTTCAAAAAATAAAAAAGATATAAAAAGAATTTGTGAAAATTAATCCAGATTATTTTGTTCTAAATTATGTAAATGTTACAAAATAAATAAATATTAATTATTAGAGAAGGATATATTTTAGACTTAAAAGGAGCTGATAAAGGACGCAAAGTGAAAGAGTAAGGAAGAAAAGACGAAAAACTTGAAGAACTAAAAAACGAGTAAACGAGCTAGTTCCATCTTTACACCCAAAAAAATCCTCCGTAAATTAAAAAAAAACAAAATAAAAGCCTTTATATAAATATTAAAATTGAAATTTTAGGGTTATTATTTTGTTTCTTTAAAACAAAAAATAAAGAATGTACTCCTATGCCAATAATAAATTTTTCAACAAGTAATAAAACTAGCTAGTTCCTTCCATTCTACCACTATCACCTCCATTGTGCTTTTTTATGTTTGTTATGGGAAAATCGCCGCCTCATCCCTGAGGAATTGTCCAAAGAAGGGCTGGAGGGCAATAAAGTAAAGGTGGCACAAAACCAAAGACAACACACAAAAAAAGTCTCACAAACAAATAAATTTTAAACAAAAAAAGGAAAAGGGAAAAGCAAAAAAACTAAATAATGCAAATGTTCAATACATTGTGAATATGTGGATAGTCTAAAAGAATATTGGGAACAGGTGAAAATGATTAATAATAAAAAATAAAGTTAAGGAAATGGAAGATTATATAAAAAATATATATAATTTTTTTTATTATGCCCACGCATAATGATTTTAGCTTGGGAGAATGAGGAAAAGAAAATATTTTTTGGTCTTTGATTTATTTCCTTTCATTTTTGGGGTTTTCACACCTTCCTTTTTAAGAATTTTTTTAAAGAAAAGGATGTAAATTTAACAATATTTGTATAAAGGAATAATATATACATACATAGGTAACTTTAATTTTGGCAACAGAATATTTAATAAAAAATTTTTTTATTAAATTCTGTTTGGAACAATAAAAATATGTATTTTTGGAGAAAATGAAAAAGATTGGAGGAAAAAGTAATAGAACAAAGATTTATTTCTCTCTTTATCTTTCTTATTTTTAACCAGATCCGATCCCTAAAATGGGAGAAGAAGAGATTCTACAAAATTTCTGAATAATTTTTGGTAATTTTATTATTGGATTTTCTTCTTTACAAGAAAACTGCCAGTTTTAAAAAATAAAAAAATTTAAAAATTTTTGTCTAGAAAAATGCCTTTACCTTTCCCCTTACCTTCCTTGCTTTGAAATTTTTTTTCAATTCAATTTTGTGGACCGCCCGCCGAACAAATTTGCCATCATTTTAACAAAAAAATCTTTATTTCCTCGGATATATTCTACTCTTTCCTCAATATCTTTTTTTCTCTATTGTTTGTTTTTTGGATAAAAAGTGGAAAAAACGAAAGTTTTTTTTTATTGTTATATCTTTTAAGGTTAAAAGTTGGTTAGACAAAAATGTTGGGGCTTTTAAAGGGAATTTGTATCTTTTTTTTGATAAATTGGATATTACGTAGTTAAGTTTTTCTCGTTTAAAGAACTATTAAAAATAAGATTTAAATATATGAAAAGAAAGGAGACTTTTAGCAATTTTTTTGGTCTCCTTTAATTCCTTAACAATTAATTTTTAAGGTTGTAAAGTTTAAAATTATTGAATAAAAAAATATAGAATTTATTTAAAATTATTCAAAGAGAATATATTAATTTACTATTTGTTTGTGTACATTTAAAGCTTCTACTTTTGTGTATAGCTCACATTTCTTTATTTAAAAGATTTTATTTTTATTCAAAAAAAGTTTCATTTTTCATAAGAAATGAAGAGAATTTGTAGCAAAA